ACCCCCCCCCCCCCCCCAACACCTACCTTGAATAGAAGTCGAGATGTTTGCGATTGAAGGTGTGCGCCGCCTAAGCGTCAGAGCTAATTTAGCAAGGAAATGGCCGGCTAAGATTGGCGACTTCGAAAAGTTTGAGCGCCTCAGAACGTGCAAATTTATATTTTTATTCGTGCTTTTCATCAACGTCAAAGATTTATTTCCGTTTTTTTTTAAAATCCACAAAAACATGTGTCTTTAAGCGTATGTAAAAGGTGATTAGCAGAAAGAAGGGGGAAAAAAGAAAGAAAAACTTATGAAATTTGCAAAAGGGTTTTTTAAAAAAAAGTGTGTGTTTCGTCGATTTCATTATTTTTCCAAGCGCCTGATTTCCCCACGATTCCACACAAAATATTATTGAACGCTCCTTCCCAGAGAGCCCTCAGATCGTGGCCGTGTCTTGTACTGCCAGATTCTGATCACGTAGCGCGGCATTGCCCTCTGTTGGTTTTGTGGTCATAATTGCCGTAAAACGTTTGGGAGAGTTATTTATAGTCCCTTGGCAAGTGTGTGCAAAATGGCTGACGCATACGTCATCAAGGTTCTCCTTCAAGGGACGGGGCTTCCCGTCTCACGTCACACGTTTCTTGTTGTTTAAAAATATGTTTTGTGAGTTAGTTCTTTTTCTTTCTTTATCATTGTTTCTTTGGGGAGGTTTTTTTTCGTTTTTTTTTTCAATGAGTAAGATTAGTTATCTAGACAAGAGTGAATCATGGCTTTCCCTGCTGCGTTTTTTGTTTTTATTTCTTTGTTTTTTTTGTGTTTTTTGAAAATTTGTTTTTGTTATTTTTTACCTCCTGCCTTTTTCTTTTTCTTCTTTTTTCTTCTTTTTTCTTCTTTTTTTTTTGGGGGGGGGGGGGAGTCATTTCATCGTTAGTGATCGTATTCGTACCAGACAGTATTGATTAAGAAAATGTGAAAGAGTAGATACAATGATATTTCAGGACTAAAATGGATCTATAAGAAAATGTGAATATCACTGATTAGTTCTATCTTTTAGTGTTTGATTTTTTAATTTATTAGTGTTTTTATTTTCCCTAGCTTTTGTCACCTACTGTAGCCCCCCCTCCCCCCCCCCAGCTGTACCTATGGGCGGGACACATACCCCTTTCCCACTCTCCTTGTATAGAGAGACCAGGTTTTGGGACTATTTTGTGGCCCTCACGCTACCAATAAGGTATGCCTAAAAGAATGTTTCTTTTGTTTCGTTTTTATTTTTTAAATTTATTTTAGCTACAGTTTTCTTTTCGGAATCACCCCCGCCCCCTCCACCCAAAAAAAGAGAGTAGAATATCTGATTTCGGACATTTTTCAACAGCGAAGTTTGAGATCAAAATTCTAAAAGACTCTGACTTTTTTGTCGTCCCTCCCTCCCCCTCTCCCCGAATGTTCCTTTTCAAATCCCAAAGTCCCGTTCAGAGGCCGTGTTCTGTTTGCCAAATGACGACCAAATATTTGGTTCTTTAAAAAAATACCTTTAAACTTCAAAAACACCCCCACTTTAAAGAGAAAAATTATGAATGATGCTTTGTGTAGATGAGCTCCTGGTGCCATTTGCATAATTATAATTTGCATAATCCACCTCGAGTCTCAGCGTAAGAGAGTTTACTGGCATATTTCCAGAGACGCAAAATATTTCCTGAAATCTAAACGAACCTGAAAAGGAAAAAGAAGGTTTCTGTTACTGTTTACTTATTTTTTCATTGTACCTCAACCACTTATAAAAACCCACACGAAGTGGGTGTGTGCTTAAAGGACATTTCATAATATTGATCCCCTAAATTGCTTCGAGGGTCCTCGGTGCTGGCTCAGAGCCAATCACAGGCGGCGTTTCAAATCGGTCGATGACGTCGCCACTCCCACAACCAATGACGGCCGCGCATAAAAACGTGGTGGTCGGCTGGAGTCGAGAACAGTCGTCCCCTCCTTCCTTCCTTCCTTCCTCTCCGAGCTCAGAACTCTCCGGCCATTTCATTGTAGGAAACAAGAAAACATCGCCACAGCGAGCGACGGACCGTCACTACATTGGGGGAAACTTCACCAACAGTTTTGGACTTCATCGAAGGCAGGGGACGGTAGAGACATAGTAATAATCTAGGGAAGAAAAGGTGCAAGCTTTGATTGAGAAGGGACCTCAGGGAAGTGAAGAATTTGAAGGAGAAAGGAAAAAATCAAATCAAAATCAAATAAAATCCGATCAAATCAGATCTAACTGAGCCTCAGAATGTGGAAGATTTTGGAAACTTGCTCATGCTTCCTGGTGGTTGCTGTGCTGTCAGGTAAGAAATGATCACGTGACCTCTTCGTATCTTTCTTTCTAATGCATGTAAAGACTAAAGCGGAAAAACGACTGTAGTCTCAAAACTGAAAATCGTGAGGGTACCAATTTTGAATGCTTGTTCACTCATAACTGTATTTCTGTTCAACTGTTGGTTGATTATTGCAGTTAGATTTCCCATTCAACAATACTTAACAATAAACCACAAGTGAAACAAATGTGAAGTTATGAGTCCACAAGCTTTTTAAATTGGCACCCTCACAATTTCCAGTTCGTGACTACCATCGTTTTTCCCTCAGTGCTCTTCACGTGTTTTTACAGCCCTATAGGGGGGCTCTTGTGGCCTAGAGGTTAAGGTGTTCGTCTTTCATTTAAAGGTCCCGGGTTCGAATCCGGGTAGCGAACGAAGGATGTTCTTCTCTAAAATTGTCTCCTTTCACCTTCTTTCCTTCTCTCTTCTGTCGTCTGCTTTTGTCTCCACTTTCTTCCCCCGCCCACTCACTCCTCTGAGCTCCTGGCTCTTTCGGCAGCCTTTCTAAGCTTACTGCAACTCCTTGGCTCCTTCTTACTGCTGTCTTTCAGCCACCCCCCCCCCCAATCTTCTGGTAGGAAAGGTCGACACCTAGCCTTCACGGACAAGGGCGAAAAATCTCGGAGGTTCCCGAGTGCAAGTTGCGCACGTTAAAGATCCCTTGGTGGTCCAAAACCGATAAGAGTAGGCTTCGGCCGTCACCCGGGCATAATTAAAAATTTCCTACCAATTGAAAATGTTTGGTGTGTCCCTCGCGCTTGTATGACGTTATGCAGTTGCGAGAGCTGTAAAACACTTACCAACAACAACAGCCCTATCGACAGAATGTAGGTCATTTAGGAGGTAGGCAGGCGTCGATTCTACTTGTCAGCGCCACCCTGGATTGAGAGGGAACAAACGTCCTATAGCCTAGCTGAAAAGTAGAGATATTTATTGATAGAAATGCTCCTGACTCAACAATCGAACTCGGGTCTCCTGTGTGTGAAAGCGGAGGGCTTAACCAATACACCTCGTGACCCGGGCAAAATTCGAAACTAATTTCAACCAAACTGAAAAGGATTAATGCGTCCGGCGCCGTCATATGTCTTGTGTACTTGTGAGTGCTATAAAACACTTACAAAAAAAAATAAATGATACAATGAAAATTTCAAAATTTGATTTTAAAAATTCGCCTTACTCAAGAATCGAACTCGGGTCTCCTGCGTGAGAAAGCGGAAGGTTTAATCAATACACCTAGTGACTCGGGCCGCCATCCGGGCAAAGTTACTAATCAACATTTACCAATCTGAAAAGGATTAATGTGTCCGGCACCGTCAACTGAACTTATGTACTTGCGAGTGCTGTAAAACACTTACCCCCCCAAAAAAATAATAGAATAAAAAATAAAAATAAAATAACTGTTTCTATCTAACGCTGCCTTCCGGTAGCACGTTACTTTTAGCTGAAACCAAAAGCGTCAGTCAGTTGTAAACTATATTATTATGATCCTAAGCTTCAAACTTTTGTCGTTAGTTAAACTAAAGTATACCCCCCCCCCTTCTCTCTCTCTCTCTCTCTCTCCTCCAGTAAAGAGGAAAAAGATTAAGTGCTCCAAGAATTTGCGCATCACGATTGTTGTTTCTTGTTCCTGTAAGACATATCTGCGTCCCCATCCCCACCTCCCCCCCCCCAAAAAAAAACACCAAAAAAACACCAATTAATAAATAAATCTCCAATGTAATGCCAGATCTGATGTTTGTTCTAAGTCAAGCTCTTTCGAAATGGGAAGGGGGAAGGTAGGGGTGTTCCTATGGTAGCGAACCAAACTAGTTGAAACAGAAGATGTTTTTTGAAAAGATCAAGAACTATAAAACTAAACTACAAAATGTTAATGTCCTTTTAACCTGTTCACTGTTGTACAGAACACTAACACGGGCTGTAGTTTTATGTCTTCAAATAGCCCGACAAAATAACTTTGGTGACTTCTGTGTTGGTTGAAGAAGGGGCGAGGGATGAGTTGCGGGTAACGTTAGCGTCTCCCCTCAGTGTCTACGATGCAATGCACAATTCGCCCCGCATTACGCCACAGCTCTACCTGCGGAATGTTCGATCCTTCACTCGCTCCAAAGATAGTACATAACAAGATGGACCACTCAGCCAAAGATAGTACATAACAAGATGGTCCACTCAGCCAAAGATAGTACATAACAAGATGGTCCACTCAGCCAAAGATAGTACATAACAAGATGGGCCACTCAGCCAAAGATAGTACATAACAAGATGGCCACTCAGCCAACGATAGTACATAACAAGATGGGACACTCAGCCAAAAAGTGTCCGCAGGAAGTTCGCTCTTTGCTTCAGATGGCGCTGCAGTCTGTTTTGAAGCTCTCTTTCGTTTTTCCAGAAGAGGAATAGGAATAGCACCTCCTTGCGTGTGCAGATCGACTGCTGTTCATCAGCAGTTCGGGTTCGTTCAGTGTGGAGTTTTAGTTTTTTTTTAAATTTTAATTACCTCTCGACTTTCTTTCTAAAGTCAAATTAAACGAAGAAAACAATCACCCTTTCCACCGGAAGAGGTTTTTTGTCAGCGTAACAATTTGTAAAAAGCGTTCTTCCAAAATGTATTCAAAAACTTGCTAGTTCCACTTTGATTTTTTAAAACTCGTAGGGTAACTCTGTTCGCAAAGAGTGCGCTTTTGTGAAGAGGGCGCCACCGAATTTTGAGGACACTTTTTTAATTGGCTCAAAGAGAGAAGTGGCCCCTCTTGTTATGTAGACTCTTTGACTTGCCCTCCGTTTGTAATCAAATTGTTAAAAAATGGCAGAAGTAGGGTATCGAAACTGGTATTATGATCACTCACATCTCTGAGCATTGCGTGTGTGTGTGTGTGTGTGTGTGTGTGTGTGTGTGTGTGTGTGTGTGTGTGCATGTGTGTGTGTTCTTTTGAAGTACAATGTTATAGTAGTCCTTGGTAGGAATAGGACTTCTAACAGGGTAGATCTATACAGTTATCATTTTATGTTGGATATCAATTGAAATTGAAGTCCACAATGGAAAAACGATCACGGTTACACTTTTTCACTTTTGAGTAAACACAATTTTTAGATTTAAAACTCTACAGTAAATTCAACAGTGATGTGAAATGGTTGAAACCGGTTTATATTGGAAGTTTAAACATATTCTGATGATAGTTCAATGCATGTGAAGATATTTGAATGAGGCAACTGCCTAATTTAGCCATATCGATACCAACAGGGGGGGGGGGGGGGGGGGGCGAATTCGAGATCCCCGCTATGTCTAGATAGTGCGTTTTTATGGGAGTGTCTCGTGGTTTTAGGGAACAATAACAATTCTGCCTCAGTTGGGAAAGGGTTCAATCTATTTTTTTGTGTTGCTGTTATAATACATTTATTTCTATTATGTGAGACGTGCAAAGAAAATGAGCTACTTCTCATATTGTAGCCCTGTAGAAATAGATATGTTGAATTGATAGGCTGAGTTTTTACAATTCATTAGTTGGAAATAAATAAAGACACGGTAAATTTGAAGAAAATGACAACAATTAAGAGCCTACAAATTTACTCCGTCGTTGATTTTCTGCCAAAACCGGCATTTGTGAATTGCGAGAAGTAACTCATTTTGTCAGCACGTCCCACATATTATATTTATAATCATATTATTTTATAAAATAAATAATAACAGTACATAATAGAAAGCATTTGGGGGCTCTGGTGGCCTAGAGGTTAAGGTTTTGGTCTCTCATTCAAAGGTCCCGCGTTTGAATCCGGGTCAACCGAAAAGATTTATTCTCTAAAATTGTCTCCTTTCACCTCCTTTCCTCCTGTGTAGCAATGTTCTATCATCTGCGTTCGTCTCCTCTTTCTGCCCCCACCCTTTCATCTCCATTTCCCCCTCATCTGGGCTCCTGACTATTTCTGTAGCCTTTTTCCTGCTACTCCTTGGCTCCTTTTTATTGTTGTTTTTCAGCCACACCCCTGACCTTCTGGTAGGAAAGATCTACACCTAGCCTTCTCGGACAAGGGCGAAAAATCTCCGAGGGTCCGTGTGCAATTTCGCTCACGTTAAAGATCCCTTGGTGGTCTAAAATCGATTAGAGTAGGCTTTGGCCGCCACCTGGGCAAAATTAAAAATTTCCTACCACCTGAAAATATCAAGTGTGTCCCGTGCGCTCATATGCCCTTATGCAGTTGCGAGCGCCGTAAAACAATCACCCAAAAAAAAAACCACTTTAAAAAACTAGCATTTGTATAGCGCAAACCACCGCTCAACAGCAAGCTTACGCTCTTCACAATCTATACTATTGCCCCAGCAGACCTGAGAGCATTCTGAAACAACCTCAACTTCCAAAGTTGAGAAAATTTCACATCCTCTCAAAACTCTATCCAAGATGCACCTTTCAACATCACCATAATGCAGTTTGATTAAAGAGCTTGCTGTTTAGCCGGGATTTGCGCTATACGAAATGCTATATTATATTATTCTCTATTATTATTAAAGCTATGGTGAACGCTTAGATCTACAACAGTTGTCTTGCTTTTAATAATAATAATAATAATTGCATTTATATAGCGCATATCCATGCTCCCTAGCTTGCTCTGTGCGCTTTACAACTATTATTACCCCAGCAAACCCCCTGAGAAGACTCAGAAACATTCTCAGCTTCCGCAGAAGCATACAGTGCAAGCTGCGGATTTCACGCGCTCAAACACTATCAAACTTACAAGATCTTTCACTGTCTATAGCTGGGTACCCATTTCCACCTGGGTGAAGTGAGGAAAATTTGTGCAAAGCGCCTTTCCCAAGGACACAACGTCGGGCCCCTGACAGGATTCGAACCCACGACCTTACGGTGCGAGTCCGAGAGCCTAACCACTAGGCCACCGACGCCATTATAATAATATTTTCATGGTTCCTGATAGGAACAGCACAACAAAAACTACTTTGTTGTTTGGAGGGGTTTTTTCAT